TTCAGCTTTAGAGCCCTCCCAGACCTTCATAATTTGAAATGAAGAAGTGGGGCAAAAATCGCAGTACCTGAAAGCAAGTTCAAACCTGGAGTTGTCAGTCCTGGCAAATAGTCCCTTTGCATCCTGAAAGGTTTGTTTGTAGCAGATTTTAGAAATCCACAAAACGGACGCGGGACAGCCACTGGAAGTTTTCTTTTCATTTTTAATATTGACAGTCCAAGATGCACTGGACCTCATAAGAGCTGATGCGGGTATTCAAATACACACACAAGCAGGTTTCTTGTCTCTCCTCACCCTCCTGCTGCCTTTCTTGCCTGCCATGGTGGTGCCCACTGTGTAAATTCAAGTTCTGCATAGTTTCATAAATATGAGAACTGAGAAATAGTTGCAGAGAGTTTTCAGGGGAATTGCTTTCCATTTGTGCTTCCATTTAGCCACCCATGTGACTGTGGCTCCATTTGTTTATAGCCCTCATCAGGTGTTTTGGGATTTTAAAATGCACTGAAACAGTCCACCATCACCGTATAAGAGTGACATCACATGTTTTCATTGACTGCAGAGATATAATGATGCAAATATGAACATTAGGAAGAACTTCCTAACTGTGAGAGCCATTCAGCAGTGGAACTCTCTGCCCCGGAGTGTGGCGGAGGCTCCTTTGGAAGCTTTTAAACAGAGGCTGGATGGCCATCTGTCAGGGGTGCTTTGAATGTAATTTTCCTGCTTCTTGGCAGGGGGTTGGACTGGATGACCCATGAGGTCTCTTCCAACTCTATGATTCTATGATTTTTGTCCTCAGATTTTAAGCTCACCTTTTAAACCTGTGTTTTCCAGCTGAAGATGCAATTCAGTGCACATTTTTGGTAAGCACCATCTAGTCATCTCTCTTTCTATCCCAGTTTCTCTCGGATTTTAGGGCCTGTGAGGAAGGGCCCTTAGTGAGCAACTTAAATGAGAATATGAGGGTGTTTTTTCCCCTCATATTTAAAGCAACAGATGGTTTTCACTGCTCTCTGCTTGTAGTCAACTATAAAGTTTGGACACAGTTCATGAAGAGGCCTGTTTTATCCCTTTGTGCAACATCTCATATTGAAGACATCAAAAGATTGTACACAACTTTCAGGAGTTAATAGTCCTTCCAACATTCACTAACACCTGCATTACAGCCAATGGTAATACCAGGCTGAGCAAAAGCATGGGGATGATTGCCTAGCAAAGGGATGATAGCAGACATGTCTCCAATATAGTGGAAGACAATTGAGACATACACTCATGCCAATTTCAATAGGTCAAGGGAGGAAAGATGAGTTCCCTGACTGGAGATGATGTTTTGACTGGCTCCAACTACTTCCCCATCTGATTATTCCTCCTCTCAGGGCTGGATTAACCATTGAGCAAAATAAGCATGTGCTTGGGGCATCGAGGGAAGGGGATACCACAGAAATTGTCCACTGCTGAATTCATCATGGACCATGTGGTACAAAACTGCAATGGTGAAGCTCTCACAATACAAGACTTGGCAATTGGAAAAAAGTGGGAGAAATGTTTTCAAATATAAAGAAAGTGGAAGTGTACCCCCAAAATCAACATTATTTTCCATCTCAAGGTTTTGTTTTGAAAAATAAAAGTTTATTCTCGAATTAAGTATTGTTTCTATTTCAAATGAGATACATAAGTGGGCACCAAAACCTTTTAAGGGTCTTAATCCGACAAGATTAATTTAAACCTTAAGAAATGGGGCTACTAAGGGCCTCATCACAATAGAGAAAAAATCCATTTAAAATTTGGTTTCTGTCTCCTACAGAATTCTGAGTTTTGTAGTTTAGGGAAGAGTCTTTAACAGCCTCACTAAACTACAAACCCCAGAATCCTGCAAGAGGCAGAAACCAGATTTTAAGTGGATCTTTTTCTCTACTGTGATGAAATAGTTGGAGTCTACGACATGCGAGTGTGGAGAAGAGCAAACCACAGACCATTTACTACAATGCAGTCTGAGCCCTGCCACAAGCTGGAATGTGTCCAGAGGAAGGCAAGTAAAACGATCAAGGGTCTGGAGAACAAGCCCTATGAGGAGCGGCTTCAAGAACTGGGCATGATTAGCCTGAAGAAGAGAAGACTGAGAGGAGACATGATAGCCATGTATAAGTATGTGTGAGGAAGTCATAGGGAGGAGGGAGCAAGCTTGTTTTCTGCTGCCCTGGAAACTAGGGCACAGAACAATGGCTACAAACTACAAGAAAGGAGATTCCATCTGAGCATTAGGAAGAACTTCCCGACTGTGAGAGCCATTCAGCAGTGGAACTCTCTGCCCTGGAATGTGGTTGGAGGCTCCTTCTTTGGAGGCTTTTAAACAGAGACTGGATGGCCATCTGTTGGGGGTGCTTTGAATGCAATTTTCCTGCTTCTTGGCAGGGGGTTGGACTGGATGGCCCATGAGGTCTCTTTTAACTCTATGATTCAATGTGCCTCCTTATAGCAACACTAGAGGCACTCCAAGTGGCCAGTTACTGGTCAAAGGACATTTAGTATAATGGCAAGGTTTTTTTTTTAACTTTGTGTTTTGAAATACATTACAACTGAACCCTTGGTTCACTTCTGACAGGATAAATAAATAAATAGTCCAGCAAGAGGGCAGGTTGGAAGGAAGACACCTGTTTCAGGGTTCAATCAATGCAGTTGGAGTGCCAAGGCTCAATGCTACGGGATCGTGGGGTTTGTTGTTTGGATCCTCCTCAATCTACAATTCCCAGGATCCCATAGTTATGAGCCTTGGCAGTTCAAAGTGGTGCCCCACCAACCTCAGCTCCTCCACCTTCCCTCAGATTCAACACAAGCCAAGGCAGAAGGCGGGAAGAGAATCCCCAGGCACACAAGCAGGCCCCAAAGAGCGGGAGTTCAGCCTGACTCTTCGACAGGAGACTCTTCCTCGCTCTTGGATCCTGCTTCAAATCACCCCAACGCCTGCCTTTTCGCCCCTAGTTAGCCTCAAAGTAGGCGGTTTCCCTCCGAGGGCGACGCCGGTTTCAAATGACACCCCTTTCTGACGTTTCCTCACAGTGGAGGTCCTACTCCTGGGTCCACAGACACGGGATACAAATAATTCCAAAGGGGCTTGGCGCCCCCCCCCCCCACTTCTAAACCAGAACAAAGATAAAACACAACGAAACCTCCTCAAAGGGTGCATTTCCTCGGCGGATATAAGGCAGTTCTGACACCAATTGAACTGCCACGGTGTAGTCTAGTAAGGCACCAGCCCTCTTTGACAGAGAAGGCTCATGACCGTGTAAAACCACAACTCCCATTATAGATGCGCCAAAGGCACCGGTTCCTTGTTCTTTTTCTGATTATTATTATTATTATTATTATTATTATTATTATTATTATTATTATTATTATTGGGACTATTCTTTGCCTTATTCCCACTTAGAATAATAGAATCATAGAATTGGAAAGAGACCTCATGGGCCATCCAGTCCAACCCCCTGCCAAGAAGCAGGAAAATTGCATTCAAAGCACTCCCGACAGATGGCCATCCAGCTTCTGTTTAAAAGCTTCCAAAGAAGGAGCCTCCACCACACTCCGGGGCAGAGAGTTCCACTGCTGAACGGCTCTCACAGTCAGGAAGTTCTTCCTCATGTTCAGGTGGAATCTCCTTTGTTGTAGTTTGAAGCCATTGTTCCGCCTCCTAGTCTCCAGGGAAGCAGAAAACAAGCTTGCTCCCTCCTCCCTGTGGCTTCCTCTCACGAATTTATTTATACATGGCTATCATGTCTCCTCTCAGCCTTCTCTTCTACAGGCTAAACATGCCCAGCTCTTTAAGTCGCTCCTCATAGGGCTTGTTCTCCAGACTTTGCCTCGAGTTCTGGAGTCCCATTTCCTCTTAGGAGAAGTCCTGGACCTGAAGGAACAAGGCACTTTGACATTTGTTGTTGGTGCTGTTGCTTGAAGCCCTGACAAATACTGCCTCTAATACCAGGCCTGGGCAGACTTCGGCCCTCCAGGTGTTTTGGACTTCAACTCGCACAGCTTAAGCGGCTGAGGGGGAAAAGGAAAGGGCCTGAGGCTGTTAGGAATGGTGGGAGTTGAAGTCCAAAACACCTGGAGGGAGGGCCCAAGTTGGCCCCTGCCTGATCTTCACTGTGGAATGACCAAAGCAATTTGACACCTGCTCTGGCTCAATGCTATGGAACCTCTGACACTGCCCTCTATCCCAAGAAGTAATCGTTATCTGCTTATCCCAGATTATATGACAGTGTGACAGTGTGGACTCCTATAATCCAGTTCAAAGCAGATCATCAGGGATCAGATCCTGGGATATACAGCAGTGTAGATCCAGCTTCAGTTGTAGTTTTACAGAGTCTTTAACAGGCATGGGCAAACTTCGGCCCTCCAGGTGTTTTGGACTCCAACGCCCACCATTCCTAACAGACTCATGAGTTGGGGGGGATTGTGTGTGTGTGTGTCAGGAGCTACTTGAGAACCTGGAAGTCGCTTCTGGTGTGAGAGAATTGGCCGTCTGCAAGGACGTTGCCCAGGAGACGCCTGGGTGTTTTTGATGTTTTACCATCCTTGTTGGAGGCTTCCCTAATGTCCCCGCATGAGGAGCTGGAGCTGACAGAGGGAGCTCATCCGCGCTCTCCCCAGATTCGAACCTCCGACCTGTAGGTCTTCAGTCCTTCCCATTGCGCCACTGGGAAGTTAAAGTAATGCCAAAATGTTCTACAGTGTGGATGCGCTCAAAGAAATCTCGGTTTCTTACTAAGCAGCATCAAGTAGTTCTTTCCTGGAGGAGGAGACGAAAAACCCTTGCAAAACCGCGAATCCTACTATCCTATTGCCTTGAGCAGCTTGGCTAGCGTCAAACAGCGTTAATTGTACGGTGTGGATGCCCCCAAAGAAGCCCAGCAGCCCCAAGTGGTGCTTCTTCCCTGGGGATGCCTCCCCGCCTTGGGCATTTGTGGCAGATCCCGCGCTCGCTCCTTAGGCAAAGGGAGACTTACCGGCGGCGCCTGGGAGGCGATCCCGGAGCGTTTGGCGGAGCCTCTCCGGGAGCTGAGCCTCTTCCAGGACTCGGCGAACCTGCCTCGGCTGGCGCTTCGGCTCCTCCGCCGCTGCCCCGCGTCCTCCTCTTTCTCCTTCTCCTTCTCCTTCTCCTTCTCCGGGGCGCCCCTCTCCGCCTCACCGGGGCCCCGCCACTTCTGAGCCATCGCCCCGCAGCAGCGAGGAAGGAGAAGAAAAGTTGGGTCCGGCGCAAAGCGGGCGGAGAAGGCGCCCAACGCCTCCCTGCCTTCTCCTCTTTCTCCGCTTTCTTCTCCGCGCCTGCTGCCTCTGAGCGAGAGGAAGGAGGGCGGCACTCGCTGGGTGACAGCCCGAGCCCGAGGAGGTGGTCTCTGAGACCCGGATCCACCGGCAGCAGAAGGGGCTCACCCAGGAGGAGAAGGCGCCTCGGGACCACAGGCAAGAGAAAGAAGGCTCTGGGGGGACAAGTGACGCACGCTGGGGTTCCTAGGCAAAAGGATGCTCCTCTGGTGCCAAGAGGCATCACACACCCGCATCCACAGGCAGGAGAAAGAGCCTCTCTGGGTGCCTCCAGTACACATACAGGAGAAGAATGTCTCTGGTGCTCACACACAGGTATCCACAGCCAGGAGAAGGAAAGGTGTAGGCATGAGAGGGGACAGTATTTGTGGGACTAAGAGATTTTTTGTGTGTCAGGAGCGACTGAAGAAACTGCAAGTTGCTTCTGGTATGAGAGAACTGGCCGTCTGCAAGGACGTTGCCCAGGGGACATCCGGATGTTTTGATGTTTTATCATCCTTGTGGGAGGCTTCTCTCGTGTCCCCGCATGAGGAGCTGGCGCTGATAGAGGGAGCTCATCCACACTTTCCCCGGATTCAAACCTGCAACCTGTTGGTCTTCAGTCCTGCTGGCACAGGGGTTTAACCCACTGCGCCACCAGGGGCTAATAATGAAAGACAAGAAGAACATTCTTCTGTGCCATTTCTCAAGCCGCACCTGACACAACAAAATAATAATAATAATAGGGATCATGCATTGGTACCCACAGGCAAGAGAAGGAAGGGTCTAGTTCTAGGTATGCACAAGGAGATGAAGACAGTATCTGTACTACTACTACTACTACTACTACTACTACTTATTATTATTATTATTATTATTATTATTATTATTATTATTATCACATCCTCAGCTGCTGCAAGAAGATCCTGCAGACAGACTACAAGCAGAGGCATAACACTATTGCTCAGATGATTCATTGGAACTTGTGCCACAAATACCATCTGCCAGCGACAAAGAACTGGTGGGATCACAAGCCAGAAAATGTTACAGAGAATGAACACGTTAAGCTACTCTGGGACTTCCAGGTTCAGACAGACAGAGTTTTGGAGCACAAAACTCCTGACCTCACGATCCCTGTTAAAAAAACAAAGTATGGATTGTCGATGTCGCAATCCCAAGTGACAGCAGGATTCAAGAGAAACAACTGGAAAAGCTGACACAATATGAGGATTTAAAGATTGAACTGCAAAGACTCGGGCACAAGCCAGTCAAGGTGGTCCCAGTGGTGATAAGAACACTGGATACAGTGCCTAAAGACCTTGGCCTGCACTTAAACACAATCGGCACTGACAAGATTACCATCTGTCAGCTGCAGAAGGCCACCTTACTGGGATCTGCACGCATTATTCGCCGATACATCACACAGTTCTAGACACTTGGGAAGTGTCCGACGTGTGATCCAATACAACAGCCAGCAGAGTGTCTGTTGTGGACTCATCTTGTTGTGTTTCAAATAATAATAATAAACTTTATTTAAACCCCACCACCAACTCTCCACAGGGGACTCGGGGCAGCTAACATGAGGCCAAGCCTGAAAATAATACAGCAAAGTTAAATACAAAATAACAGAAAAATTACATCACAACAAAATACATGAAGTAACAAAATAAAATAAACAGTGAAAAACAGCATAATAAAAATCAAACACAAAGGGCAGGCCAAATGTGCAAGATAACATGTTAAAATGTTAAAACGTTAAAACCCTAAGTGAGATAGGAATCGAAGAAAGTGTATTTATGAGGAAGGAGCCCAAGAAGGAGGCGCAGTGGGGCATGGCCTTCATTAAGGACAAGGATAAGTGCACCATGAGGACAACTATAGGTGGAAACAAACAAATTGGGATAAATGGTCACTTCCCGAAGGCACATTGGAAGAGCCAAGTTAAATCTTTCTTAAAGGCTACTAGTGACTGATCTCACCAGGTAGCGAGTTCCAAAGCTTGGGGAGGGGGGGGGGGCACAGCGGAAAAAGTTCTCTCCCTTGTTCCCACAAGCCATGCCTGTGACAGAAGAAGAGGTGAAAGGAGGGGCTAAATGACCCCACATATAGGAGAAGGAGTGTCTCAAGGGCAATGAAGTCGAAGACCATATTTTCATTCTTGTGGATCACTGGTGGTCTGCGGACCACAGGTTGGGAACCACTGTCCTAAATGATCCCACTGACTGGAATCCACGAGCTGGGAATATAAGGACCTCTGGTATTAATACATGAAAAGAAAGTGTTTGTGGTGCTCAGAGATATCACACACTGGTACCCACAGAGAGATAAAGGAAGTGCCTTTGGTACTAATGCAGGAGAAGAAGCACTTGCGGTTCTGATAGGTGACACAGACCAGCATCCACAGACAGGAGAGGAAGAAAAATTCCTGTGGTGCCAATAGTTAACACACAGTGATATCCACAGGGAATGGCCTTATTCCTCCTACCAATTACCCAGGTCACTTCCTCTAATAGGCCCCAGAAATGAACAGCCATAGACACGTACCTATTATTGTTGTTGCTTGCTATATCACTGCACTTAATCCTGGGGCCCCTAGAATTTTTGAACTTGCACTGATCTCGTCCTGCCTTTTAAATTGCCTTGAACAGGCAGGATTGCTTTAATATGCATATGTTATGGCGACAATTTTAATGCTTATATTGTTTTGTTAATCTTATGGTTATGTTGTTTACTCTGTATGTATTGATGATGTTTCTTGGAAATCACTCTGAGTCCCCTCGAGGAGATAGAGAGGTATATAAATAAAGATTATTATTATTATTATTATTATTATTATTATTATTATTATTATTAATGAAGGAAGTGTCTGTTGTACTAACACAGGTGCCAATAGGTACCCCACACCAGTCCCCACTGGTAGGAGAAGGAAGTATATGTGGGTCAAAGCATGCACAGGGAGATGAGGACAGAATTTGCAGTACTAAATGATCCCACAAGCAGAAGAAGTGGGTGTCTCCAGTATAAATACAGGAGAAGAATATCTCTGGTGCTCACAGGTTCCATACACTGATATCCACAGGCAGGAGAAGGAAAGGTGAGTGGTACTAATGCAAGAGAAGGAAGGATCTGTGGTTGTAATTGGTTTATTTATTTATCGTGTCAGAAGCAAATTTGAGAATACAGTTATAATGTATTTAAAAAACCACAAACAAAGTGAAAAACTTGGCATTATAGTAAATGTTCTTTGACCAGAAGCTGGCCAGTTGGAGTGCCTCTGGTGTCGCTATGAGAAGGTCCTCCATTGTGCTTATGGCAAGGTTCAGGATGCATTGTAGTAGGTGGTCTGTAGTTTGCTCTTCTCCTCACTCGCATGTTGTGGACTCCACTTTGTAGCCCAATTTCTTAAGATTGGATCTGCATCTCGTGATGCCAGAGCACAATCTGTTCAGCAACTTCCAAGTCACCCAGTCTTCTGTGTGCCCAGGAGGGAGTTTCTCATCTGATATCAGTCACTGTCTGAGGTTCCGGATTGTAACCTGCCACATTTGAACTCTCACTTGCTTAGGTGTTCCTACAAGTATATCTGTAGATCTTAGGAATCTAATTCATGATTTAAGGCATTGGCATGCTGGCTGATATCCATGTAATATGGTGCTAATAGATACCACACATTGGCATCCACAGGCTGGAGAAGGAAGAGTCTGTAGTCCTAAATGATCCCACTGACTGTAATTCACAGACTGGAGAAATAAGCATCTCTGTTACTAATGCAAGAGAATGACGTGTCCATGGTGCTCACAGATGCCACACAACAGTACCCACAGAGAGATGAAGGAAGTGTCTGTGGTACTAATGCAGGTGCTAATAGGTACCCCACACTGGTACCTGCAGGCAGGAGAAGGAAGTATCTGTGGTACTAATCCATGTCACAGTCCTGCCCAGCTTGTCTCTGCAAAGCTACCAAGCCCAAAAACATAGTCCAGGGTCAGCTTGAGGTTGACACAATAATCAATCAGCCAAGCAAGAATGAGAAAAGGGGGAATCTGTAAGTCCATTCTAATATTCGAAAGCCAAGTTATCTCACCAACACAGTTTCCAGAAGTACTGCACAATCCATGATCCTGCTTTTGCTCTATATTTGAGCCTAACGCAAAGGCTGGGAGAAGCAATCCTTCCTTCACCTCCTTGTTGTTGCTACTAGCCATGGCAATGCAAGGGAAAGAAGTAGTGATATCCACTACTGATATCCACAGGGAGATGAAGACAGTATCTATAGTACTAAATGGTCCCACAGACCTGTATACACAGGCAGGAGAAAGAAGTGTCCCCAGTTCTAATACAGAAGAAGAGTCTGTGGTGCTAAGTAATACACACTGGTATTCATAGGTAAAAGGAAATGTCTATGGTCCCAATATGTATCACATCCAGTATCCACAGGGAGATGAAGGAAGGGTCTGTGGTACTAAATGATCCCACAGACCAATATCCACAGGCAGGGGAAGGATGTGTTTGTGGTTCCAAACATACCACAGACCAGCATCCACAGACAAGAGAAGGAAACATATGAGTTCTTAACAAATCACACAGACTGGTGTTCACAGATAAAAGGAAGTATTTGTGGTACAGTACTAATAAATACCACAGACTGGCATCACAGGCAGGAGAATAAATAATAATAATAACACTTTATTTATATTCCGCCCTTCTCACCCCAAAGGGGACTCAAGGCGAATCACAGTACACATACATGGCAAACATTCAATGCTGCTTTGTATAGACAATACACAGACAGACAGAACAGAACAGGAGGTGCCATGGAAGGTTGGGCTTGAGTCCAGGGGGTGCTGTTGCTCCATCCTCTATGACGAAGAGCCATCAGGACTTCCTCCTTCCTTTTGGTCGCCCAACATTCTCTGATCTTCCTTTTTTATGGTGTTGTAAAACACCTCCCCTGCTTTTTTTAGCAG